CAGAGACTTTCAGCAGGCCTATCTCCAGTTTTATGCTGGAGCTTTAAGCAGTCATAAAACTCCTCTTCTTGTCTGCCCGTCCTTCCTGAACAGTTTGTACCCATCCATGACCATGCTCCAGTCATACGAGCTATCCCACCAAGTCTATTGTTCCAATCATGTCATAGTTCCTTGACTCTGCAAGGACTTCTAGTTCTTCCTCCTTGTTTCCAGGGCTCTGTGCATTCCTTGTGTACAGGCACCTGAGGCAACTAGCCAACTGCCCTGCTTTCTCAGGAAGAATGAGTCCTCCTCCCTTGGTGCCCCTGCCTCCTTTTACTTTCTCCAGGTCTTCCATTTCCTCGTTTACCTCAGGGATTTGTTCTCCATCCCTTGGTGAACCAGTTTAAAGCCCTTCTCACTAGGTCAGTGAGCCTGTCTGCGAAGATGCTCTTCCCTCTCTTCATGAGCACAGGGGACTCCATTTGAATTGGCCTCCCATTTGACAGGAAACCACTGATATTGGTACTCTTAAAGAGGGATTAGTTGTGCATGCACCTCATGGTAATTTAATCTAGACTTCTTTTTCTACTTTCTTATGAGAATGCCATGAGACACAATATCAGAAGCCATATCCCTATCTACTAGGCCAACTGTCAAATCTATCTTATTTCTTCCTTTCATCTGACAGGACTTTGTATTTGACAACTGCCATGTTGATTGCTAATAACTAACCTTTTTATCACTTGCCATAGACGGAGGCTGTAACCCCCTCACCCCCCATCACACACACCTAGTGTAGCATTATGAATGGATTTGTGAACCCCACGGAAATCCAGTTGGAAGAGCTGATATCACATTGGAACTGGGATTGTGAGCTGACTGGGAGAGTAGAATCATGAGCAAAGAAAGATCGGAAATCACTTGATCTGAATGCTTTTGATACCTCTATGGAGACTGAAATTAGGCTGGCTACTCTGTAATTCCTTAGGTCTTCCTCTTTCCCATTGTTAAAACTGTGTGTGTGCGACTTTCTGCTGTTCTCTGGGTTTTACCTCGCCCTCTGTGAGTCCTCAAAATTAGTTTCTGCTAATTCTAAAAGTAATTTAGGGTGAATTTTGTCAAGTCTTGTTGATTTGACTAGATCTAATTTATCTAAACATCCCTTAATAAGTTTTCTAGAGCCCATGGCCCTCTCTTGGAGGTAACACAGATGACATGAGTTGTGCTTTGTATTGTAGAACAAAAAGGAGTTTATTAAGTGGTCAGTTGAGACCCTCAGCAATTTTCAAGTGGTCCGCGAAATAAAAAGTTTGAGAACCACTGAACTAGAGGATCCATCGGAAACCAACACTGATCAAGGCTACAGTACATTTACAACCTGTCTAATTGAAATATCTTCTGCGTACACAAAGTTTGGTTATAGAAGCCATTATGTGCCATCCTAGGACAAGCAATGCAAAAAGATCTTTAATATCATCAAGCGATATAATGACCCTGCAACTTAAAAAGAACTACAGAACAGCTGTCTGCCACATTGAATAATATCAGAAAGGAGAGATGGCTTACTGCCATAGAAGGATTGAAGATGACCCACTCTAGCATGGAGCACCATTAACAGTGTGCTCTTTCCAGCTCTTGTCCTGTACACTTTCACCAATTTTAAGCAACAGGCAAAGGCAAACATAGAATTTATGTTATCTTAAACTTGAGCAACTCTATTTGTTGCAAATAAAAGAAATTGCTCTGTACTCTTGATAAGTGAGTTCTTTGTTACTACCCTGTAAGGCAGCTTTATAGTTTTAGATTTGGAGGCCCTCTTGTTTGGAACCATGTCTTCCGTTTACTATTTTTAACTGGAATAAAAATTTGGCATCAGGATGCCTTCTGCAAATGTTAATAATATGGAGAAATGCAGTCTCCAGAGTCTGTGTAGGGCCTTATGCTACATACTTCAGGTCTTGCACGTGGCTATCTTGAAGGGAAATGAAATCAGTACACCTAAATATGAATGGTGGAGGAACTCCATAACAGTGTAGCAAGAGTAGTCCACATGTCCAGGCATTGTTCTGTATTATTGATTTGTAAAGTAGTTTTCTAACAAAAGTATTGTTATAGCCATTGGCATCTGGCTCTATAATGGCTGTTTTTGGGAAGACATTAAAACAGACCAATTAATGTAAATGGTCAGATTTTTCATGCTAAAATTTAGATTGGAATAAGGAATTTAGTTTTTTGGGAATGAACAAATTTGTACTATTTGCAAACTTTTGTAATGTATTAATAAAGCTGCAGATGTGCATCTCATCAAGTTTGTTACTGATGGTTTCTTTCCTGAGAAGTTTTCCTGAATGTCAGGATGGATTAAAATCTATGCCTTTAAACTACTAAGTCTTTTTTTAAAAATTAAATGCAATATTGATAGCATATGTTGAAATCTTAACTTGTAATTTATTATTCATTCAAGTAATGTTACCATATTTACTTGAATAAAAGATTTTTTTTTTCCTCCAACCAGCATGTGAAAGAAAACCCTATGTCATACATTTGCATATAAGGAAACCTCTTTAAATACATTGCATAGCATTAAAATGTTGCCAAAAGCAGTCTGTACTCACTAACGGAAACCAGCCATAAAACCACCAACACTAAGCATGACTATAAGGCACATGACCCACATTGGGTAAACCTGTGAATGGAAACCTACCAGAAGAATAGGGTAGTACAGCCCATCTGAATAAGACGTTCGGTATTGCCCATGAAGTGCAGTCCCCCTCAGCACTAGCTCTTTTGACTTTGTATATATTTCAACTTCCTTTTTATTCCCACAGCAGAGCTGTGCCTTTCTTTTCCATTTTCATTAATTCCTGTTTCTTCGCCATTGTTAAGTATGTGGCAAACTTCATGAAACAGGGCCCCAAACAGTTCGCGGAGAAGAATCCCTCTGTTGCCTCCTCTCTCAGCCTGACGCATGTGAAAAGCGTGGCCCTGCCCTTCATGAGGTGATGCCCAACCAGGCTGCCATATGCCTCGTCTGCATGTAGGCAGACAAGGTTCTTTGGGTAAACTAAGATTGGTCTAATAAAAGATATCAGATTTACCCAAAGAACCTTGATTGCCTATGTCTGTAGACCAACATGGCTACAACCTACACCCGTCATCTACATAAAAATATGTGGAGCATCCCAGGACTTGACAAAAACACTGGTTCCAGTCATGAGTGGGGGACTAATTAGCACATGGATCCTGGTGGGGGGTATGTGGAGTACATGCATACTGAGCATTGCTGATCTGTGGGGTCACCATGGCTTGAAACTGATTGTGGTAAGGCCAGCCCAGTGAACTCAGTGGTACATCATGAGTCTTTTGGCTTTGGACTAATGCACCTTTTGTATTCTATATCCATTAGGCCTGTATGAAGCAAGGTAATAATTATCTTTTCTTTTGGAATCCTTGGGGCCTGCTAAACTCAATGACTGCAGTAGTTTTTAGTGGGGCTATCTTTAAAGAGTATTCCAAAGCTGAATGAGAGTGAAATTTACCTGGCTGTTAGATTCCTGAAGTCAGTATTGTTTTGGTTTTGCTTGTCAGGTATTACAGTTAATTCCTATTCAGTTTCAGGTGTAATTCAAGGCATCATTTCTTGGTTTGGAAAGGTTTACATAGTTTTGTCTCGATTGTTTAGGGGAACATCCTCTTTTAGTATGTTCTGTAGCAGAAGTTGTAATCAACTGGAATGAATAGCTTAATATCCAAACACTCACAGCATGCCTTTTTTAATGAAGGGTCCTTGTCTCTTGGATTCCCCTTTCCCAATAATGGCTGAGGCATCTCTTCAGTGGTACACTTCAGGCATGTGATTTAATTTTTAATAATATGCTTAAGTTCATCCTGATTCAGAAATGCATATTCTTCAGGGAGACTCTCTATTGCAAAAGCTACTTTTACAGATGTTAATATATAAACTGAACACATGCTTCTTCCCATGTGAAGCATGAGTTTAAGTGCCATTGACAAGATGTAACTTAAGTTAAACAAGTACTCAAACGCTGTGTTGAATCACAGCCTTAGTCCATCTGCTGGCCCCTATGCTTTTGAACACTTTTGCAGAAAGTAATTCAGTAATGTGAAGCCTTTTTCTTCCTGAGAAGTTAACTACTATTTTTTTTCCTGTTTCAGAAGGAAAAGGGGCAGAATGAATGTGATTTATTTTATTTTTTTTAATGACATGTTAAGTTGGTTATGTAATTAAAGGCATGCATTTGTTGGTTGATGTTTGATATTTTTTTCAGTGAAAATGTTTTCTGTTCTGAATTTCCACAGAAAAAAAATCAAAGTTTTTAAGCAAAAGTTTTTGTAGGTATTAATCACAACATGGATAGATATTTGCCACCATGTAACATTAAGGATTTGTTAGCTTTTGAAAATTGTTCCTGGAAAGCACAATTCATTGTGAAGAATGCTGCTCTATTTTGCACGTGTTGCTGTTGCGCATTATGAGAAGACACTATGCCTTATAAACATGTTGCTACTTGTGCAATCATGCATATCAATCCAAAATGGTTCCTCTTTTGTATTGCTTAAATCGGGGGTTTCTGTTGTGTAGCATGAGTCAGGTTGGGGTACAGACATGCATCACAGCAGCAGATAGGACTTAAATTATTATTTAATAGAGTCCTTGTGATACCTATTTTATGCAAGACATGATCAAATCAGTTTGCATATTGTTACATTCTGTTCCTCTTGAAATAGCCTTTTTATAGTAGAAGAAGCAGTAGATTAGTTATCAGTGTAATACAGCTAAACTCATGGTAAAATTTCAGTAAATTGAAATGGGACCAGTCAGAGTTGTGTGGCTACCCAAACACTTTAATTTGCATTTTTCTTTGTTCCTGAAGCATTGTTGTGCAATAAGCAGTGTGCATTATGGTACAGTAGGAAGTATAGTGATATAAGTGTAATAACTAAGTGGACCATTATCCAGAAAACCTTTACTAATAATCTTGCATTTTGTTTTTCAGCGTGGATCTGACGAGCTTCTTTCTTCTGGTATCACTAACGGGCCTTTTACCATGAACAATTCTACTCCAGCTACAGGTATACCAAAACTATTAATCTATCATGCTTTTAATGTTCTTCTTTGTAAGTGTGCTTTCAGGGATTTTCTGCTTTTTGTTTCTGCTCATAAAATGATTACAAAAGAAGTTTTAAATTACAAGCAAAACCTACAGCAAAGACCATAGAAACTTTAAGGGGAAAAGGACTTTACAGAAGCTTTAGTCAGAATTGTGTCAAGGAAATCTAAAATTTCACCAATACCATGGGTCAAGGGTTATTTATGCTTAATAGGCGTAATTAAACTAGTAATCTGTGAGAGATTTTCATAGCCCTTAATTAATTGTCTTCAGCATTTCAAAATTGTTGGGGGGGGGTGGAATTTAAGTATCTGAACATTCTTAAAATTATGAAGGTATAGGACATTCAGTTCTAGTGTTTGCTCACAGAATTTCTGAACCTCAGAGAGGTATTTCATCATAATCGAATTAGACACACATAAGTTTGGAAAATTTTTGCTTAATTTCTTTTCCCTTTTAAATAGAAGAAGCTTCTGTTTGTCTTAAATTTAGGGTTGTCTTAGATTTGAGTAAATATAGTACCACTGCCTTTTGAGCTGCAGAATTTATCGCCAGTATAGTCGCTCGTGTAAAACGTAACTCACCATGAAGTAGTTATAGAGTCTAAAAAATATGAGATATTGGCTCCTGACAAGTTTAAGGAAACTCCAGTCCCCTGTTAACAAATCTGCCTATATCATGGGTAGGCAGAATGTGGCCCGCAGGGCCCCTAAAAAATTTAGAAAATTAATATTTATTTGCCCCTAGCTGCCTGTCAAGGGGCCCTTGATGGCTTGCCAAAACTCAGTAAGTGACCCTCCACCCAAAATAATTATCTGCCTCTGGCCTACGTGTTAAGAAGAATACATGGTAGATACCTCAGTGGGACTATAAGGGCTCATAGTGGGATGCAACCTCTCCGTGATAGAGAGACATATCTGCAGGAGTACTTTTCTCATTGAATAATTTTGATCTCATAGTTTCATAGTAGGTAGGGTCGGAAGGGACCTGAGCAGATCATCAAGTCTGACTCCCTGTGATGGGCAGGAAAGAATGCTGGGGTCAGATGACCCCAGCTAGGTGATTATCTAGCCTCCTTTTGAAGACCCCCAGGGTAGGAGCGAGCACCACTTCCCTTGGAAGTTGGTTCCAGATCTTAGCCTCCCTGACTGTGAAGTAGTGCCTCCTGATATCTAGCCTGAATCTACTCTCGGTCAACTTATGGCCATTATTCCTTGTTACTCCCGGTAGTGCTTGAGGGAACAGGGACTCTCCCATTGCCTGCTGGTCCTCCTTGGCCAGTTCGTAGACAGCCACCAGATCCCCTCTCAGCCTGATCTTTTGGAGGCTGAACAGGTTCAGGTCCTGTAGCCTCCGCTCGTAGGGCCTGCCTTGCTGCCCCCTGATCAAGCAAGTGGCCCTCCTCTGGACCCTCTCCATGCTGTCCACATCCCTCCTGAAATGCGACGTGCAGAACTGGACGCAGTACTCCAACTGCGGCCTGACCAGTGTCGCATAGAGGGGGAGGATCGCCTCCTTGGACCTGCTCGTGATACATCTGTGGGTGCATGACAAGGTGCAGTTAGCCTTCCTGACCGCGTCCCCACATTGACGGCCCATGTTCATTTTGGAATCAATAATGACTCCAAGATCCTTTTCTGCCTCTGTGCTGACTAGAAGGGAGTTCCCCAGCCTGTAGGTATGCTGTTGGTTCTTCCTCCCCAGGTGAAATACCCTGCACTTGTCAGTATTGAGTCCCATCCTGTTCTCATCTGCCCATCCCTGTAACCTGTCTAGATCTAGTTTCAGCCTGTCCCTCTCCTTCAGCATGCCCACTTCTCCCCACATTTTAGTGTCATCCACGAATTTGAACAAGGTGCTTTTCACCCCCTCTTCCAAGTCACTGATGAAGATGTGGAACAGTACAGGCCTGAGGACCGAGCCCTGGGGGACCCCACTGCCCACATCCCTCCAGGTTGAAAAAGACCCATCCACCACCACTCTCTGGGTGCAGCCCTCCAGCTAATTTGGGACCCATCTGACTGTGTAGGCATCGATGCCACAATTGTCTAATTTCTTAACGAGAATGGGGTGAGAGACAGTGTCAAAGGCCTTCCTAAAGTCCAGAAAGACTACGTCCACCACGATACCTGCATCCAAGGATTTTGTGACCTGGTCATAGAAGGCTACCAGGTTGGTCTGACAGGACCTGCCTCGAATGAACCTATGTTGGTTGCCCCTAAGCATGATCTCCCCTGCTTGCCCCTCGCAGATGTGCTCCTGGATAATTTTCTCAAAGAGCTTTCCCAGAACCAAGGTAAGACTAACGGGCCTGTAGTTTCCTGTCTCCTCCTTCTTCCCTTTTTTGAAAATGGGGACCACATTGGCCCTTTTCCAGTTCTCTAGCACCTTACCAGAGTACCATGAGTGCTCGTAAAGCTGTGCCGGGGTTCCGCAATGACCTCTAGTCATTCCCTTAGCGCTCTGGGGTGGAGATCGTCAGGACCTGCTGACTTAAACACGTCTAGACCCACCAGACGTTCCCTGACTAGGTCCTCACTGACCCTGGGCCTGGCAGTGCCTCCCCTGGGTCCGTTGGGGATCCCAGTGCGGGGGATGCCCTGGTCCTTGCTCAAAAAGATGGAGGCAAAGAAATTGTTAAAGAGGTTAGCTTTGTTGTCTGGTGTGACCACCAGATTTCCTAGCGTATCCTGCAGAGGCCCTACATTATCCGGTACCTTTTTACCCGCTATGTATTTAAAAAAGAACTTCTTGTTATCCTTGATCCAGGTCGCTAGTCCCAGAACTATCTGCGCCTTAGCCTACCTAACAGCCCCCCTCCAATCTTGGGCAATGGAGGTATACTCCTCCTTGGTGATGGCCCCTCTCTTCCATTGGGTGTACGACTCCTTTTTAGCTTTGAGACGTTTGTGGATGCTTTTGGTGAGCCATGGGGACTTTTGAGCACTCCTGTCCCCTTTGATCCGCGTGGGGATTGTCACCCTTTGGGCTTGGAGGATCGTCTCCTTACATGGTAGATATGTTCCAGATTCCAGAATCTGACAATGGGACAGTTTAACAGAGGAAAAAAAGGAGTTCCTTCCAATCCCCATGCATTAACCAACAAAGCCCAGAAGCAAGAGAAATACCCCTAGTAGAATACAGGCACAGGTATGCCCAGAGCATCCCTGATCAGTGGCTATCCAACATTCTTGAGCATCTCTAGTGCTGGAGAGTCCCCAGCTTCTGTAGGCAGTCTATTCACTGCCTCACTGTTCTAACTGTGAAGAAGTTTTCCTGATACCCTGTCTAAACCTACTTCGCTGCAACTTCAGGTCATTGGTCCATGCAGCAAAAGAAAACAAGGTGTTCTTTCTCTCTTGTATGGCAGCCCTTCAGGTATTTGAAGGCTATCGTCACGTCTCTTCTTAACTGCCTTTTCCACAAACTGAACATACCTATTTCCTTCAGTCTCTTCTCGTATGGCTTGCCTTCCAATTCTTCATCATTTTTGTCAGTACCTATGGACTCTCTCTAACTTCTCCATGTCCTTTTTAAAATGTGGAGGCCAAAATTGTACAGAATACTTTAAATGAGGCCTATCCAGTGCTAAGTAAAGGGTGCCTTACACCTAATGCTCCTGTTCATGCAGCCAAAACATGTTTTTGCCTGTCATGCAGCTGCATCACAGCGCAGTTTGTGTTCCACCAGAATTCCTAGAACATATTCCATAGTGCTGCCATCCGGTGAGGTACCCCTATCCTCCCAACGTGTTTGCAGTCCTTCCTAAGTTCATGTCATCTTCAGACTTTCTGAAAAAGCGTTCAGTGCCACCAGCCAAATCATTAATAAATGCATTGACTAGCTCTGGGCCCAGGGTAGACCCCCGTGGGACTCCCGTTCTGGCATGGATCCATTTATACTTACCCTTTGCGTGCAGTTAGAGGCAGTTGCCCATCCACCATATAGTACTTCTGTCTAGTTTGCATTTCTCCCAATTTGTTTTTGAGAAGATGGGGGGACTTGAATCACCCTGACATCTGCTAGGAGGGCAATAATAGCAGTGCACAGGCAATCTAGGTGCTGGGGACAACTTACTGGTCCAAGTGTTGGAGGGGCCATGCTCTTCTTGATCAGCTGCTCACAAAAAGGGAAATATTGGTGGGGGATGTAGAAGTGGATGGCAATTAGGGCAGCAGTGACCATGATATGATTGAGTTCAGGATCCTGACGGAAGGAAGGAAGGAGAGCAGCAGAGTAAAGATCCTGGACTTCAGAAAAGCAGAGTTGGACTCCCTCAAAGGGTAGGATCCCCTAGGAGGCCAGTCTGAGGGGGAAAGGAGTCCAGGAGAGCTGGATGTATTTTGAAGAACCTTGCTGAGAGTGCAGAAACAAACCATCCCAGTGTGCAGGAAGAATAATAAATATGGCAGACAACCAGCTTGGCTTAGAAGAGAACTCTTCCATGAGCTTAAACACAAAAAGGAAGCTTACAAGAAGTGGAAGCTTGAACAGATGACTAGGGAAGAGTATAAATATTGCTTGGGCATGCAGGGATGAAACCAGGAAGGCCAAAGTGCAGTTGGAGTTAGCAAGGGATGTGAAGGGTAACAAGAACGATTTCTACAAGTATGTTAGCAACAAGAGGAAGGTCATGGAAAGTGTGTGTCCCTTACTGAAAGGGAGGCAACCTAGTGACAGATGATGAGGAAAAGGCTTAAGTACTCAACAACCTTTTTCACCTGGCCATTATCTTTCAAAACTCATGGCCATCGGGGAAGGTCCTGGACAACTGGAAAAGGGCAACTGTAGTGCCAAGTTTAAGAAAGGGAAGAAGGATCCAGGGAACTACAGACCAGTCAGCCTCACCTCAGCCCGTGGTAAAATCATGAAGCCAAATCCTCAAGGAACCCATTTCTAAGCACTTGGCGGAGAAGAAAGTGATCACAGGAACAGTCAGCATGGATTCATTAAGGGCAAGTCATGCCTGACTAATCTGATTGCTTCTGTGGATATCGGGAGATCAGTGGACATGATGTACCTTGACTTCAGTGAGGCTGTTAATACAGTCTCCCACAGCATTCTTGCAAGAATGCTAAGGAAATATTGGTTGATTGGATGAATACAAAGGTGGATAAAAAGCTGGCTGGATCATCAGGCTCAACTGGTATAGTGAGCAATGGCTCGATGTCTAGTTGGCAGCTGGTATCAAGTGAAGTGCCCCAGGGGTTGGTCCTGGGGCCAGTTTTGTTCAGTATGTTCATTAACCATCTGGAAGATGGGGTGGAGTGCACCCTCAGCAAGTTAGCAGGTAACACCAACTGCGGGGAGTACTAGATACGCTGGAGGGTAGGGCTAGGATATAGAGTGAGTTAGACACATTGGAAGATTGGGCCAAAAAAAGTCTTATGAGTAGTGTTCTGCATTTTCAGTTTTTATTTAAAAAAAAAAAAAAAAATCCAGGAATTTTTCAGGGGTTATTTTCCAAACACAAAAACTGGGTTGAAATCGGGATAAAAGGAAGAAAAGGAAAAAAAATCGGTTTAAATCAGGGAAAATTATATCTTCCCATGGCAGTGAGGGAGGGAGAGAGGGAGGGTGGGACTAGGGAAGGGGGGGGGGGGGGTAGCATAGCCCCTTGGTAGCTCCTGGGGCTGCAGCAGGGAGTGAAGCGGAGGGAACTGTCCGTGGTTGTGGGGCAGGGGGCACGGCTATTGCTGCTACATGCATCCTAGGAGGGCTGTGGGGCTGTGCCGGGGTATTCTTGGTGGGTGCGTACCCCCAGATCTGTGTGCAGGATGAGAGCAGGCTGCCACTGCAGGCTGGGGCCAGTGGTGGCACCAGGCTCTTCCTGGTGTTCAGGGCAGGCATCAGCCTGCGCTCGTCTGGTGCGCAGATCAGGGGTACACGCCCCCCAGGAAGAGCCCGGCACAGCCCCCCAGCCCGCAGCCCTCCCGGGGTGCACACAGCAGCAAGAGCCATGCCTCCCCACTGTGTGCTCTGCACCCACTGACTTACAGGTCCCTCTGCAGCTGGCAGCTGGTCCCTCCTGGGGCTGCCACAGCAGGGGCTGAGGTGAGTGGGAACAAGCGGAGCACCAGGGGATATGGGGCGCGTTGCAGCTTGTCCCTGCTCACTCCGCCCCTGCTGCAGTGGCCCTAGGAGCGGCCAACGCCAGCTGCCCTCACCACGGCACAGTCGCGCATGGCCAGAAGAGGGGAGGGAACGGGGAGACACCCAATCCCAACCCCAGCACTGGCACCTCCTGCCCCAACTGGGGTTAGAGCTGGGAACCCCACACCCCTGGTCACTGGTTCCAGTCCTGCAGGCCTGTGCAGAGCGGCTGGGTGCAGCACCCACCACAGGGAGCATGGCCGGGCTCTCCCGCCTGCCCCACCTGGCTGGGCTCACAGTTCCCAGTGCCCAGAGTAGGCTGGAGCCGCTGCGGTGCAGCTGAGACCTGCCTGCCCTGGGAGCGATTCCTGTGGTCCCTTCCACCTTGCCTGGGGTCAGAGCCAGGAGCCCTGCAACCCCAGGCAATGGCTCCAGCCACCCCCCTCTCTGTGTGCAGCTGCTGCCATACCCTTCCTTCCCTCCTGACCCTGCATCCTGCTGGAAACCTGTGCCTTGGGTAACCAGCACTTTTAACTTACTGGCACCCCCCAGCCATTCCCCACTCATGCTGGTTCACAGGGATTTTACTGTACCTGGTAAAATTGAGTGAACTAAAAAAAGGGTGTAAATCAGTTAAAAAAAAAAAAAAAAAAAAACCAAATAACTCCAATAAAAAAAAATCAGGGAATTTATTGGTGAAAATTGGTAAAAACTGAACACGCAGAGCACTACTCATGAGGTTCAACAAGGACAAGTGTAAAGTCCTGCACTTAGGACGTAAGAATCCCATGCACCACTACAGGCCTTGGACCAACTGGCTAAGCAGCAGCTCTGAAGAAAAGGACCCGGGATTTACGCTGGACAGTAAACTGAATATGAGTTAGCAATGTGTCCTTGTTGCCAAAAAAGCTTGCAGCATACTGGGCTGTATTAGTAGGAATATTCCCAAAAGATCAAGGGATGTAATTATTCCCCTCTGTTGTGCACTGTTGAGGCCAAATCTGGAGTGTCCAGTTTTGGGCCCCCCACTACAGAAAGGATGTGGACAAGTTGGAGAGGGTCTAGCAGAGGGATAACAAAAATGGTTAGGGGGCTGCAGCATGTGACTTCTGAGGAGAGGGTGAGGGAACTGGGATGATATAGTAGCAGAAGAGAAGACTAAGGGGGCATTTAATAGCAGTCTTCAACTACCTGAAGGGGGGTTCCAAAGAGGATGGAGCTGGACTGTTCTCAGTGGTGGCAGGTGGCAGGACAAGGAGCAATGGTCTCAAGTTGCAGCAAGGAAAGTTCAAGTTGGATATTAGGAAAACATTTCTCATGAGGGAGGGTAGTGAAGCACTGGAAGGGGTTATCTAGAGAGGTTGTGAAATCCCCATCCTTGGATGTTTTTAAGACCTGGCTAGACAAAGTATTGGTTGGGATGATCTAGTCGGAGATAGTCCTGCTTTGAGCAGGGGCTTGGACTAGGTGGCCTCCTGAGGTCTCTTCCAACCCTAATTTTGCATGATTCTATGCTTGTAAGGTCATGTGGGACTTTGTCAGAAACTTTGCTGAAGTACAGATATGCTGTACCCACTACTTTCCGTTTATCCACTGTTAGTGTCAAAGAAGATCAAATTTGTTTGACATGATTTGTTCTGAGTAAGTCCATGCTGGCTGCTTGTAATCAGCCTTTCCTTCTCCAGAGGCTTGCAAATGGCATTCTTTAGGATATGCTCCAGTAACTTCCCAGGTATTGATCTGTACTTCTCCAGGTTCTCCTTTTCTGCCTTTTTTAAACAGCGGCACTACGGTGGCCCTTTTCCTGTCTTCCACAACTTTATGAAGATCATTGCCAAGTGCTCCAAGATCTTGTGTGCTAGTTTTTTCAGGACCCTGGGATGAAGTTTCTGGCCCTGCTAGCTTGAATTCATTCAGACCCATCAGAACTCTCCAACTCTTCTCTTCTCTTATTTTATCCATCAACTTTTATCCAAATAACCCTTATTGGCTTTCTGGTTGCAGTCTAATTTTTTTTGTGAAGACTGAGGCAAAGTAGCTGTATTTAAAACAGGACTGTCCAACTGGTGACCCGAAGGCTGCATGTGCCCCTGCCAAGAGGTTAATATGTGGTCCACAGGCCCTGGTGGCCGCATACCTTGCTACTGAACAGCCCAGGGTAGTTATGTGCCATTGGCACAGTCCGTATATTGTGCAACCCCAGTGACTGCACATTGGTGCCGAAGATAGAGCTTTGATTTAAAACAAGTCAAAATACTTTCTAACTTGAAGTTTGAGGTCTTGTGATGTCTGTTTAAATGTACTTTTTGGTGAAAAAGGCAACGCATAGCATCTCAGTCTCTTACTCTGTGCTTTGTCATCAGAAATATCCTTCATTTTTCAGCTTCCTTCAATGCTGTGTTTGAGAGATACCATTTTGGAGGCTGAGAGATTATCCAGCTTTAATTTTTGTGATTTTGTCAGCATCTTGTTAGTTCTCCTTAGTTCAGTCAGTGACGTCTGGTTAGAAAAGAAAGGAACAGAGCTTTCCAGATGTGGCTAGATGGGGTCACTAACTAGGCTACTGGCCAAGAGCTAAAAGTTACTGTGCCGTCTTGTGTAAACTGGAGTCTAATGCCATGAGTCTTCAAACACTGGGGGTTATCAGGTTTTCAGCTGATTATAGTGCTGCCATATGCTAGAATACATTTCTGCTGTAACCCTGTAACCTGACAAGACTTTTGAATTCCAGACCATTTTTTACCATCTAGAGTGGTACCACTTCTTTCTTTTGCTAAGTCTCTTATTTCTGATGGAAATTACTGTCATTCCAGAACTGGACGTCCCTTGGATGGATGTTTCTGCTACTTTATCTAAGATCCATCTGGTACTGGAGCCTAAAGTGGCTTGCATCTTGTGGTGTCAGTGACTACCCTTTATACTTTGAGGTATAAGTTTCTACATGTTGTTATATCTCCTTTAAAATGTTGTCTATATCATTATCCTTGCATAGCAGCAGAGTCCCTCCTCCAAGGAGATTTTCTTCTTTACCTACTTTGAATGCTGGGTATAGTATTGGAAGTAGACTGATGTTAAGACTTGACATCTGTCATAAGAGGGGAAGTTGGGGATCATTTCTTAGCACATACCCTTCACGTAAGGGTGCAATCATTGCTGTCTTGGTGTCAGTGGGATCATCATTTCTTTTTCTTCACTCTGGCTCTCAATACAGTGGAATAGAGGGCGGAAGGTGGTTACCTTTTCCTCAGCCATTTCATCAAGAGCTCTGTCTCAGTGGGAGGAGAAATCTTGTAAAGAACGTGAGAATCAACACATTCCATTGGGCCCCATCTTTGCCATTGCTAAGTAAAGCTGTGACTCGTCTCACATCCTCAGTAAACTGTTTTCAGGGTCTCGGAGGAGTTCCCTAGAAGAATAGCAGGCAGTTTTGAGATTTCCCTCCTGAACTTCATGCCTGTTACTTCAAAGCTGTTTAGTCATGCCTGTTAATAAGGGCACTCTTGAGCACATTATGGATATACGTTAGACCCCAGGATCTACTTTGGTGATATCTACAAGGACAGATGGGGAGGTGCCAGGTCACATTTAAGGTTTAGGAGTACTTCAGAATATGAACCTGGTCCCTGAATCTTTGCAGCTGACAAGATGTCTGTTACCTGGAGGACATGCTGCCGCCCCCCCAGTCACCTTAAACTTGTTACCTGGAGGCAAGATGTTCACGAAAACAGGTAGTCTTGGAGAGAAAAACATACTCCTTTTTTAGTTTGCAAATTTGTATACTGCCTATGAAACCTTGTTGGTTTAACAAGATACTTTGCAATGATACTGGTTTCTACAGTTGGCTGAAAAACTTCCTAATGAGACCAGAGTGTTATTGAGGTCTGTGACTACAGAAGATCAGTTGGTGACAGAGCAAGCTTTGCAAAAATCCTTGCCCCCCTCAGTACAGTGTCACAGCTCTCTAGTGGTCACTGCAGTAAGTCTACGAAGAACATCATAACTCTACATGTGACAGTTTGACGGTTGACTGGTTATATTCTGTGGTTTGGAGCTACTCAGTGGCAGCATAGAAGCTTTGATCCAGCTGCTGCTAGACAGATCTTACTATGCAACATGTTAATGTTTTTTATTGTGGACTCTTCATAGACATTCAGCCTTTGGACAGTCCTCCTTTTTGAGCTGTTGTCTTCGTAGACAAAATAATAGGATTTTTCAGTTGTCTCTCTTAGCATTTTGACAGGGTCCTGTTCAAGGTCATTCTCTTTTTCCCCTCCAACCCAGCAATTCCGAGCTTTTTAAGAGCCTTATTTGTGTTTCTGCCAGTTAGAGAGCTTTTTCTCTATGTGAGGTTTGAAAGTAATGCTCCTGTTGTTAGTGAACTCATGTTATATATGATCTGTCCTCTTTGTTAAAAGATGTTTATGGCTTTGGCTTCTCAGATGAATCAGATATAGACTTTGATGCCAAACTATCTATACACAGTTTTTCCTTAAGAACAGTTGATATCAGGCCCATTTGACGTTTTTACCAAACATTATTCCAACTTTCAGATAAATTAAGGTAGGCGCACGCTGATATTTATTTCTAAATCTTTAGAGACTCCTGCAGAGGCTAAAGTCTCCACACTCAATATTCTTAAAAGTATGTACTTTTATCTTGCTAGAACAAAGCATTTTGTAAATCATGTAGGCTTTGAGTTTAGAAATAAGTCTAAAGGGCGAGCTGTTTCCCCTCACTCTCTCTCAAATAGTTACAGAATAGATTGAAATTTCCTTCTCGTCAAATAAACCCCTCCCTTGCCCCCTCAACTTTAGGTATACCTTAGAGGGCTCAGTCAACATCACTGCTTGTTTTTAGGGAGGTCGTTATTTCTGAGATTTGCAGGACAGTTACTTGGAGTTCATTTCACATATTTACCAATTTAAAATTCCATTGTGGTAGCTTCTTGATCAGATGTCTGGTTTGAAAACACTTTTTACATTCATTTTGATAGGATTCTGATCACTCACCTCCTTGATGTGACTGGTAGTTATACACCAACATTGGAATGCATGTGGACAAATACTCAAAGAAGCTAGTTGATTAACAGCAGAAGTGTTACACTTGTCCACTCTCTCCCCCACAACAACCTCTGGGCTTGATCTGGATCTTCTAGCGGTAGGCCAAGAGCCTTTGGGGAGTTGCGGAGGTTAGTGCAGCCATTGCTTATCCCACAACCGTGGGTCCCTAGCCTGATTCCATAACCCAGATTGATCAGTGGGTTCTCCCCCTGAATTTCTAGCCTCCTTAGGGGCCCCACAGGCCACCTCTAACACTTGTGACTTGCAGCAATTAAATTTCTTAGAGATGTTTGTCCATGTGACTTCTGTGATTTACCTTCCTTCCACACTGTCATGGAGTTCTTGGATTTTTGTATTATTGACTGGATTGAGCGATTTATGCTATCTCTGCCCTTTATCTCCTTGTAGCTAGGGGGCACAGAATGCATACATAATCCAGTAGGTACTGGTTTCTCTTTGCTAGAGTTTAGAAAGGTTGTTTCGAACATAAGATGCTGGGGAGCAAGTAAAAATGTTACAGTTCATTCTTCAGTTTATGATGTACCTTAAGAAACCAAGCTTTGCCATGGTAGGCTATAAGAAATATAAGACACTTTTTGTCAACTGCTCACAGCTGATTGCTGATGGCTTATAATAAGACACTTGTAACATTACATATTACATAATATACAAAATGAACTTAAAACTAGAGGTGCACCGTTACAACGGTCCCATATTGGACTGGTACTGATATAAGGAAAATTGACTGCATCAACAATCAGCTTTTTTTTTTTTTTTGGCTGATGTGGCCATTAAACGCCCCATGCATGCATGCATCCGTAGTACAGCATGCAAGTGGCCAGGAGAGCAGCCCAGCAGCATGGCGAGTAGCTGGGTCCAGCTGGTAAGTCTGTTGTGAGGGAAGGGTTGTGGGGGGAGGGGCAGATCGAAGCCTCAGTGGTGAGGGATGGAGAGGGGCAGGTGCTGCACAGCCAAGACAGAGTTGGGGACAGATCCGCAAGCAGCTCATTTGGGGGGCGAGGGGACAGGCAGCTCGCACCACTGCGCCCACCCCAGGAGGGCAGGGCGGAGCGTGCCCCTGGATCTGTGTGCAGGGTGGGGTGGGCTGCTGCTGTGGGCCAGGCTGTGCTCAGCGTGGGCAGCAGCATGCTGGGAGGGGGGCTATGGTAAATTTTGGGGTGGCTGCAGCCCTTCCCTCGTAGCCCCCTCCCAGCATTGCCACTGCCCACCCTGAGCACAGCCCTGGCCCAGCCCCCTTGCCAGAAATAGCTTGGCAGCGCCCTGGCTCCAGCCTGTAGTGGCAGCCTGCTCTTGCCCTGTGTGCAGATCTGGGGGCACGTACCCCCCCCCCACCCCCCCATGCACTTCAAAAATGTATACAGCAGTGGGAGCTGCCCCCCCCACTTTCCCCCACTTCTCAGCACTCCCCAGATGAGCTGCTCGTGGCTCAGTCTCCTGCTCCACCCCGGCTGTGCAGCACCTGCCCCAGCACCACTCCCTCCCTCACTGTGGGGGCCTCAATCTGCCCCCCTTCCTTTGCCCCTTCTTTCACAACAGACTTATTAGCTGGATCCCAATCTCCATGCTGCCTGGCTGCATATCAATATTGCCCCATATGGCATGTTAAAAATTGGCCATCAGTCTCGGCCCAAAAACTCTCTATTGGTGTACCCCTACTTAAAATCACTATTCCATTCTAAAATCAAAGACTGATATGTTTCTCTTATTCGGACGTGCATTTGTTAGCAGTTTCAGCATCATCTTACTATTTGTTGATGGGTACTTCTTGTCTATGAGCACAGGGGAACAATACTAGCTTTTGCATAATATTAGAAAAAACAGTTTTAATTGCTTTAGTTCCTGACTCCAGTGTCCATTCTAACAATTTTATAGTCCAGGAGGAAAACTTAACAGCTGAAGAGTACTAGACAGGAATTAAATGGTATATATTATTTACTATCCTTAACTGCATGTTTTTGTCTTGTTAGTTAACTTGTAATTCCCATGTTTTAAGTAGAAGGGTAGAGGAGAGTTCTGGCCCTGTAGCTGTAAAAACTAAAATATGCACAGAGGAAATTGGGAACAGATGTAGTATAATAGTACCTTTAAACTACTCTAAATGCTATGTTTTAATCTGCTAATTATAAATTGATTGCTTTTCTTTAGAAGTGCTTATGGGTCAAATTAATTCCACTCAAATGAGTAATCCATCTGATTTATTTTATCAGTAGGATATTCTTTAGTAACTATGTTTTTGTTGTTGTTTGTTTTGTTTTTTTTACTGCCTTATTAATATTCTAGCTAATGGGAATGACAACAAGAAATTTAAAGGAGACAGATCTCCCTGCTCCCCTTCTCGTGTCCTTCATCTGCGTAAAATTCCAAATGATGTCACTGAAGCGGAAGTCATTTCATTAGGTCTCCCTTTTGGCAAAGTAACCAATCTCTTGATGCTGAAGGGAAAAAGTCAGGTACGTAATTGTGTTTAAGGTTTTATCTACAGTTGTTTTTCATGTTGATCACTCATGTTGCATTTGGCTGACATGATTGGGTCTTAGTTGTTTTGGTGATGTCTTTGGACATAATCAGCTTATTTATATACTATCCTAGTGCTAAAATGAGTGAATGGAGTGTCTTATATAAATAACTAGCTAGTTAGAGATGGTACTGGGATCCAAGAATCTGTCAAACTCATTAGCAGTATGCCAGTTGCTGAAGTTCAGTATGATGGTCCCTGCACTCTGCTTCTGTTTTTTAAGGTCCTGGGAATATATACGTACTGAAGTCATCATGTGTGTGTATATATAAAATGTGCAAGAATGCTCAGTTTTGTATGAGAAAATAAAATATGAAACCATCACACATGCGTACACATGCACATGTTCTATATATATTGTGTGTGTGTTTGTAAATGGAGTTGCCCTTGCATTTTTGGCAACTAGCACATTTTGAAGTTCCATGTTGGGTGTTATGGTATAAGCATGATTCAGTATTAAAAAAAAAAAAAAAAAAAAAAAAAAAAACCCCCCCCCCCCCCCCCCCAAACAACCCCCCAAAACAAAACCAGCTAAGAATATAAGGCTAATACTCATTTGGAATTCAGGATGTAGAAGTGTTGGGGAAGAAGTGACAAAAATATCTTTTTAAACTAGGACCTTCTTCTTGGTATTAGGAGAATCCTGTGTTTATGCATTACCTTGCATTTGAAGCATCACCTGATTGCTTTACTTCCATTATGAAAACACCATTTAGAGGTTAATCCTAAAGTAACTGCTAGTCTTGAAAGTATTTTGAGAAATGTAGAGTATTTTGGGTCCAAGTACGGATCAGAACATTTTGATACTTTCATGAGAGATTTTTTTAGTAAAGGGAGATTAGTGGGACAAATGATGCTTCATTTTCTTTGGCAAATATAACAGTTTTTAAAGTTATTCTTTTAACTGCAGGCTTTCTTGGAAATGGCTTCTGAAGAAGCTGCTGTTACTATGGTGAACTACTACACTCCTGTTACACCTCACCTCCGCAGTCAGCCTGTTTATATTCAGTATTCCAATCACAGAGAACTTAAGACTGACAATCTACCTAACCAGGCTGTAAGTTTATTGCTTATATACTAAAATGAATGGAACTGTACATTGCTTGCACTGGTAAACATTACATTGAAGAACTACTTTCAGCTGATACAGATTCAGTAGCCAACTTTGTCTAGATAGTCCTAATTATAATTATTTTGTAATCTTTCTTTAGATGGAGACTTGCCATTCTGTGTGTCTGCAAAATGCTATGCACCGGCTTCTTTAAACGCTAGTAATTTCAGCTTTTTTCCTGGAAGTCCATGGGTAGAATTCGTAACTGGTAGTAGTTAACAAATAGTGCAGTGGCTTCTCACTTGGAATTGGGAAGTAACAGGAGGTGCTTCAGCATCAATTTGTCCTGCTTCCATAGGGCACCCAACAAAGAGGTGGTGGCATCTTCTGCCAGCTTTTTGTGTGCTGGTTTATTTTCCAAGCCTGCATGTGTTCCCATCCTGAGGCAGTCACCCTCAGGAGGATTTCTTGTTATAGAACAGATAGTGACACCAAATGCCCTTCCTTGAAGTAAATTATTTCTGTTGGCCTTTCTCCTTATCCTTGCCTGGGTAGATCAGCATAATAAAAAATAATAGAAAGAAAAGAGGTCAAATCAATCTCATGCACTTCTTCTAGAAGTGCACTGAATTGGTGAAAGGGGCCAGGTCTTGCAGCAGTTTTGCTCGAGAATGTGGACAGATGAACAGGTGAAAGAGCTTCCCTCATTTGAATTTGCCAAATGCTCATTTTGATAGAACCTGTAAATAAAGTAACTTTGGAATAAGAGGGCAAATCTGTATTCTACAGGAAGGCTTCTGAAGACTTCAGTAGATTCTTGTGTCCTTTGGGCAGTGTCATTTTTAAGGAATAGATTTTTATTATGGGATATGGAAAGAGGGGACAAACCAGTTTAGAAACAGAGGCTAGGACAGAAAATGAGATTCAGACAGCTATACCTCCTCTGTGTGAAATTTTCATCTCAGCATAAGGGATAATTTCTCTCTTTCTGGGACTTCTGCACTCATTACCATGCAGGGAGGAACTCTGGAGGATTTCAGAAACTAGCATGTTCAAGCACTCATTAAATGATGTAGAGAGAGATTTCACCTTTTCTTGTGTCCTCCAAGTCATCCAACCACCTGCAGGGCAGCAGTCAGGAGGAGCGGTGGCACTCTAGTGGAGAGTGGTGACTGCAGCTGAAGTACAGACCAGGCTGGAAATGGCTTGCACCTGGAGCTAAGCTCTGTTAAAGTTCCCCTTGCTCCAAAACATTGCCAACACTGTCTTAAGACAAAGACAAGATTTCTTCCCCACCCCCTTGCTTCTTGCTTTATCACAATTCTGATTGTTATTCTGTTAATACCAACAGCTTTGGAAGATGTGATTCAGGAGGATCCTCCTAGGGGTGGGTCTAAGGATTAATTGCTCCCTACTTAGATTTCTGGATGAGCTTCCTAGCAGGAAAATGCACTAATCTTATTTTCCAATCAGCATTCATTGCTAAAAGTGGAAGTGCCAGAGCTTCCTGTTGTCAAGGAGTTGCTGTGGCTTAGCTTGCTTAGAAAATATAGTTTTTTGAGTAACTTGAATCCTGCTATTTCTGATCTGACTAGGGTACTGTGACTGTATATTTTTTGTGTGTGTGTGTATGTATGTATATAGTGTGTGTGTGTGTGTGTGTGTGTATGTATATATGTATATATGTATATATGTATATATATAAAAATCCACCATTCTCTGTTCTAGCATGTTAAGAATTTACCTGTATTCTTGTATGATTCATTCAGAAAATTTACTGCTCTATGAGAGTATAGAGATAAGCAACATTGGAAATGATTCATTTGATATTTTCATATTGTTCCTTGGTGGCTTCCAAACTTAGTTGGTTGTGGTGTGTATTTCTGGTGATCAAGACAGAAATTGCAAAGTGTGAAGAACTGCGTAGCATACATTGCCTTTTAAAGAAGTTACAACTCGGTATCAGAAATCAAAATATTCATTTCCATAGTGAGATGGTCATAGTGCCTCTGCTGGGCTGCTGCTTTAGGTAGATGAAGTCTTTGGGTAGAAGCAATATTTTTTTATTAGACCAACTAAATAGTTGCAAAAAGGTTATTTGCAAGCTTTCAGACACGCACATCCTTCCTCAGGCAAAAAAATAAAAATAAAAATGGTGAGAGAGATGAAAGATGGTCGAAAATTCCTTCGGTATGAAAAAAGCTAGGCTTCAGAATGCTGCTCTTCAAGAATGCAAATTTAGGAGGGTTGCAGGGAACAAAAGCAGGTTGTTTACTTGTAGGTATCAGATGTCAGCCAGGCTGGGGGGGCCATAATCAATGTTAAAAATTAGTCCTGATTGTTGAAATTTGCCTTTTTTCTTTTTCACGTTGTGAAGTTTCCATTTCAAATGGCAAAATGTGATACCTTCCATATTTTAAGGCTCTAGGCGATAGCCGTGTTGGTCTGAGCATAAAAGGCAGGCAAAGTCTTTGGGCAGAGGTGATATCTTTTATAAGATGAACTAAATGGTGCATATAAAACCCACTCACTATGTAGATATGAACTCTGAAGTGTCCAGAAGCTACTCTAAGACAGATGTGTTGTCCGGCAATTTTAGCTTACCTTTATATTGACTAACGACGCACAAGATTATTTTGAAATGCACAATATATTAAGAAATAAATAAAATAAGTATTGAACGATTGCCAATTTCTTAACATTTTTGCACTTTTAATTACAAGTATAGAATAACTTTCCCCTGAAAAATTGGACTCTACTGCTTACCCAGAATTATTTATTGAAGTACAGTATTTTGGAAATAATTCTAATTACAAATATCACTTTCTCTGGATTTTAAACACCCAGCACTCTCATACTTTATTTGTATGGGAATTGCTTGTCCTTATATATATTAATTTACCTGCATGTGTGTGAGCTAATCTCATTGTGTTCCTCCTCCTTTTTCTCAGAGAGCTCAAGCTGCATTGCAAGCAGTGAATGCTGTGCAGTCTGGAAGCCTGGCCCTTACAGGTGCTCCTTCTACTGAGGGTGGACTCCTTCCAGGCCAGAGTTCTGTTCTCCGAATTGTTGTGGAAAACCTCTTCTATCCAGTCACTTTAGAAGTGCTATATCAGGTAAGGAGAGAAAACAACGTGTTTGTTTTCATTTTGACTGGTCGGAACACTAGCATAAATCTTGGCAGCTCTTTAAGCCTGGAAATCTTGCATTGGGTGCTTGAGTTGTATGAGGGTTGCCATTTCATATTGGTAAATAATTTTTATAGCCGTATGCTGTGCCTTAACGAGTTTCATTCAAAATGAACAAAGAGTAAATTGCTCCTCTTAGCCATTTTTAGGGTTTCTTTCAGTCCTCTTACTCCCTTGCTCAAGGAATTCAAATAGATTTTTGTGGATATGCAGCAAACAGGAATGTGTTAGTTTTAATTTGAAGAACTTTAGGCAGAGGTGATATCTTTTATTAGACCAACTAAATAGTTGCAAAAAATGCCTTTATCTGCAAGCTTTTAGGTTCACGGCCTGAAGTTTTACTTTGCCATTTTTGTAGCAGCTCATTCCTGAGCATGCAGTAGCTCCAAATGAGTCATGATTATGCAGATATTCTGTGTTATTATCAGGTTTTGTCCTGTGAAGCTCTTGTAATTTTCATTTTATTTGAAATGCTTTTATCTTAGTTTTAATAATTGGGTGTAAATAACCTAATTTGTATGCATAATAGAACAAATGCAGTTATTTGGTAGTGTATTCAGTTTTTTGGACATTTGATTATTACTAATTTATAGCCTGTTTTAGCTACATTGTATGTTTGCAATAGGAATAGACCATAGTTGTGATTGACTTCTATGAATTAGGTTTCTTTTCCTTATCACCTCTTCTGTAGTGCTATACTATACCATGCAGTCATTTTAAGAGCTGGTAACTTGGTTATGGACTTTTTCTTTTCATTATGCTTGTTTTTGTTTTTGCCTTAAAATTATAAGAGTAAATTTTTGAGGTGCTGCATGAAATCATCTCTGCTGTTTTCATTATTGCCAGTGGAATGTGTAACAATTCCTACTGCACATTTTAAGAGGTAAACTTTCATAGGTAGTCAGGGGTCCCATTGAGATTTTGCATATCTTTCAAAGATTCTTGTTCGCCTGAATGGTAGCGTTTGCTTCAGCACAGTTTTCCAAAGCCATCATTCGGGTCCTTGACCAGAGTCTGTGTGGTCTCTCTGTCCCATCAGAGGCTTGCCCACCACTTCTAACAGTAACCATATCAGAGGCTTGCCCACCACTTCTAACAGTAAAAAGTAGTATCACAAATGTTCTGTTTTTCTGTCTAGGCCTTTACTTCCACATGAAAGTGATTTAACCTTTGCACTTGCTGGGGAGAGGTAGGGATTAGTATGTTCAGGATCTTCAGTTTTACCTGTACTTACTTTATCTTATCAGGGTTAAGACTACACAAATATTGGGGCATCATATACGATTACTTGTTCTCCAAGTATACTGAGAGCTGTCCCATACTAATTTGTCAGTAGATGAAGTCTTAAAGGAACTTAATAAACTGAAGAGAAACCTGATAGCATTTATTCTATAGAGTTCTGAATTAAGTCAAATCTGAAATTGTAGAACTACTGAATGTAGTATGCTATTACTAAAAACTGCCCTAGTGCCAGTACAATTCCAGTCTATAAATGGGCTTTAGAAGGGGACTCGAGTAACTTTAGGCCAGTGAGTCTAACTTCTGTTCCTGGCAAACTGGTAGAAACAGTTATAATAAAAAGCTGTTCAGCATATGGAGAGACATTAGTATGGATTTTTAAAGGGAGGTTGTGTTTTTTGTGGGTGCCAACAAGTGTGTGGATCAGGGTGGTTCAGCTCATGTATTACTGTTATATTTAGACTAACAAAAAGTCTTTGTTGAAATTCCACATCAAAAGCTCTAAATATAGTTGGTTTGTCATGGGATTCGAGGGAAGGTCCATTTGTGGATCAGAAATTGGTTTAAGGATAGAAAACAAAGAATGGGTATAAATTATGGGTGGCCAACCTGAGGTGCACGTTCCATAAGTGGCACAGGCAGCCTCCTATGTGTGGCATGTGACAGATCTGGGAGGGAGCAGGGAACACAGTGACAGATAGGGCAGGGAGCCAAAAGCAGAGCAACAGATAGGGTAGAAAGCAGGGCAGCAAACTGAACAGCAGAAAGGCATTACAAAAGCACTCAGAGGGTGTGGTGCTTGTGGCATGCCTGCTTCCCCCCTCCCTCCCCCCCCTGCCCCCGTGACCCATTTGGCTTTGGCTTCAGCCCAAAGGACAATGGAGCACATGGTGGCTCTGACCCCAGCCAGGAAGCAGTGACCGTTTCAGCCCTGGCTCTGTGTTGGGGCCAAAGTTATAGCTCCGGTAGCTTAATCGCTATCAAATTTTTTGCAGAATTTAATCTAAAACTTAGTTATCTGTTAAATGCAGACCTAATCTGTGTATCAACACAATTAAGCCTGAATAGTTTCTATATACTTTCAAAAATAAATATGCACTGAAAATTGTCAGAATGTTTTAAATCACTGGTTAACAGTGCTATATGCTTCATTATGCCAAAGTTTGTACAGATGTACACATAGATTTCATAGACATTAGGGCTGGAAGGGACCTTGGAAGATCATAGAGTCTAGCCCCCTGTCCTAGGTGCAGGATGTCAACTAGGGTCAATGGATCCCAGCAAGATAGAGGTCCAAATGTTTCTTAAAATGAGTCCAGAGTAGGTACTTGCACCACCTCTGGAGGCAGTCTATTCCAGGCCTTAAGGGCTTGGCCAGTAAATAAGTTTTTCCTTATGTCCAGCCTGAAATGGTCTTGGAGGAGTTTGTGACCATTTGACCTGGTCATCCCTTGGAGCACTCTGGTGAACAGGCATTTCCCCAGATCTTGATGTTACACCCCTTATATAGGCAGCCACCAGGTCCCCCCTGAGCCAGCGCTTTTCCAAGCTGAAAAGTCCCATGGCTTTCAGCCTCTCATTTATAGGGCCTGTTCTCCTGCCCTCTGATCATGCACATGGCTCTCCTCTGGACTCTCTCAAGCTTTTCCACATCCTTTTTAAATTGTGGAGCCCAGAATTGGATGCAGTACTCCAGCTGCAGCCTCACCAAGGCCAAGGACAGTGGAAGGATGACATCCTGGGATTTGCTTGAGAAGCATCCGTGGATGCAAGCCAGAGTTTTGCTTGCTTTACCAGCTGTGACATCGCACTGGTAGCTCATATTCATCTTGTAATCAATCATGACCCCCAAGTCCCTTTCAGCCGTGGTGCTAGAAAGTGTAGCACTGCCAAGCCTATAAGCGTGCTGCGGGGTTTTTTTCCCCAAGGGGGAGTACCTTGCATTTTTCAGTGTTGAATGTCATCAGGTTTTCATCGGCCCATTTTCTGAGCCTGTCGAGATGGGTGTGGATCACCAACCAGGCGTGGACGCTTTACTCCAAAGTTTGCTGTCATCGGTGAACTTGGCCAGTCTGCTTCTGACACCAGTGTCTACATCGTTAATAAAGATGTTAAAGAGTATAGGCCCAAGGGTGGAGCCTTGGGGGGACCCCACTGGTTAGGTGCACCACGATAATTTACTTCTGTCAATTACTACTCTCTCGGTCTGATCTTGGAGCCAATTCCCCAGCCATTGGACTGTGATGTAGATGAGGCTGCAGTTGGCCAATCTTACCATGAGGAGACCATGGGGCACCAGAACAAAGGTTTTTTTTAAAGTCAAGATATTTGACATCAATCTCTTCTCCCTTGTCCAGGTGATATGTCGCCTGGTCATAGAAGGATATGAGATTGGTCAAGCAAGACCTACCTGCAACAACCCATGCTCTCTGTCTCTCAGAATGTTGCCATCAGCCAGTTTGTCAAGAATAGTCTCTTTGATAATTTTTTCCAAGATCTTCCCCAGGATAGAGACCAGGCTGATAGGCCTGTAGTTCCCCGGGTCTACTTTCCTCCCTTTCTTGAAGATAGGTACCACACTGGCTTTCTTCCAATCTTCAGGTACTTCACCTGAACGCCACGAGTTCTCAAAGATCCGTGCCGGTGGCTGAGCTTTGATGCCTGCTGTGCGGGCCGGGAGCGCCCCGAGCCCTTTTTCACGCTGCACGCGGGCTGTGGCCAGCAGCCCGGGCACGCGGGGCGGAGAGGGAAGGCCTTCGCTCTGGAATTAGGCACGGACGCGTATCGGTAGTTTAAAAGATTGTTTACTTACACCGAGATGGCAGTGGTGTAGGCTGGAAAGCTTGATTAAGTTGCAGTTACAGACAGACACAACACAGACGGTCTCGTGGAGGTTGCTAGGCTCCACGGTGCAGAGCTCCGGATGCTCTG